TAACCAGGGACGAAGGCTGCAAATTAGCCCACGGCTACAAGCCTTATGTAGTTGGACATCGGCCACCTGTTTGGTTGCAATGTTTAATTGTACTGTCCCTGTCAAATAAACAAATAAATAAAAAATAAAATAAAAATTTTTCGTATTTACATTAGTGTGAAGCTAAAATATGTGTGTTTTGTCTACCATCTGTGTCTTCCAAGGTCTAGCCTTCAACAACAGAAAAACCTTATAAGGGCATGACAGAAATTGACCTTGGGTGTCCAATACTTTCCTATCCCATATCCCATAATATGTACACTGCTTAGCAACTATCAGTTTAATGAAAATCAACTGCTAGAGGAATTTCGGTCTCCTCTCAGGCTCTCCCTCCTCTGCAAACGAGAAAAACTTATCCTCTGTGTCAAGCCTTTTTATTCTGATGCCTCTTCCTGGGTCTGTCGATTAATAACTAAACTCTTGATAGTGAGGAACTAGGAGTCGTATTTAGACCCAACAAAGAGGGTGGGGGGCAGTCACAAAACCACACACAGGACCGTCCGTAGACCCAGAAATGGTTCCCGTTTGGTTCCTGTTTCTCTTTATTATTCTTTATTTCGTACGTTTTTTTCCGAGCCAGATGGCCCCCCCACCCTGAGCCATGGTTCTGCTACAGGTTTCTGCCTGTTAAAGGAAGTTTTTCCTTGCCTGTGTCGCCTAGTGCTTGCTCATGGTGGGAATTGTTGGGTTTCTGTAATTAACTTCAGAGTAGGTCTGACCTGCTCTGTTTGGAAAGATAACTGTTGTTGTGATGTGGCGCCATGTAAATTGAATTGAATTGAATTAATTTTAATTTTGTAATGTCGTTGTCTGAACGTGTGTTTGGACTGATTTTGTATTTTGTGATTTTGTGTTGTTTGGTCTTTCTGCCTCAGGACCACAGATGTAAACTAGCAACTATGCTATAATCTGGCTCATTTACAATCTGTATGAGATTGTTCATTAATGTGCACTGTCCTGATTAAATAAATAGATAAATAAGATGCCTGCGTCTAACTACTCCTACAGCTTTCAGCCTATTTCAACCAATAAGGTATCAAAATGTTCATCTATCTCAGGACTATGTGGCTATCACTTTTGGTGTTCAAATCATTTAAACTTTTTAAGTTATTTAACTTTTTCTGTTCATATTCTCTCTCTGTTTTGCTGTTTCTCTTTATTATTCTTTATTCCGTACGTTTTTCTGCATCTAACCACTCCTACAGCTTTCAGGCTATTTTAACAAATGAGGTCTCAAAATGTCCAGCTATCTCAGGACTATGCAGCTAATCTTTTCCGCTTTTTAAGATATTTAACCTTTTATGCCTTATTCCTCTCATTGAAATGAATGGAAAAAATATGGCTCCCTCTGCTGGTCACAGGGATTTACGCCCCTTCAACTTTTTCTATGAATTCCTGTTAATCCTTCAGCCTGTGGTATATCTTAGTGGTATATCTCATTGGTATAGCTCAGTGGTATAGCCCAGTGGTATAGCCCAGTGGTATATCTTAGTGTTATAGCCCAGTGTTATAGCTCAGTGGTACAGTGTTTGACTCCACATCCAGAAGTTTCTTGTTCAAATCTTCTTGTACCTTATCTATAATTTTATGGCCTTTTTCACTCTTTACTCTTCTTCTAATTCTTTAACGTTTCTTCTTCCACTCTTTAGTTTTCAGCTCTTTCAAATTATTCCTCCGTTCAGCCTTTTTTCTTCCATTCTATGTCTTTTTCAGCTTTTCTTTGGCTTCTTCTCCTTCTTCCTCCATTCACTACTTGGCATTCTCACAGTTAATTCACAGTTTCTTCTAGTTAATGGTTGTTTTTTCATCGTTTCTAATCCCAGCTAACGAAAATATAACTCTGATTTACTGAGAGTAAATTCCATAGCTTAATTTACATTAATCACACTGCACGTGCGATGTTAACGTCTGGTTTATTTGGCTCCAGTGATAACCAAAGTGGAGATATGGAAAAGCCTTAACTTTAAGGGAAACTACTTGAATGACTGTATTGTAAATATTGCACATTACAATTTATCACTTTTTTATTTATTATATCACATAATTTTCTTATTTTATGGCTCGGCCCCTTCTTACTTGTCTGAGATTTAAACTTTTCGCAGTTGTGGCAGAGCCTCAGCTTCTGTTAAAAGGTCCCCAGGTCAGGACTCAAACTGTGGGGCGATCGTGGGACATCCGCACCACTACTGACCTCAGCCTTTTAAAAAAAAAAAAAGCTTAAGACCCACTTTTTTAAATTAGCATTTAATTGGGACTAGGGTCTCTTAGGTTTCCTCCTCCTGTCTGCTCCTTTCTAGGCACTTCTGGAAGGCTTTTAATGCCCTGCACCACTACTGCACTTTTAGTTGTTTCTGTATGTTTTGTATGTTTTTTGTATTGTTTTATGGCTTTGTTGTAAAGCACTTTGAGTACCATTTGGGTATTGTAAAGGGCTATACAAATAAACTTGATTGATTGATTGATTGATTGATTGATCCCCGCATGACTTTTCCAGGCTTTACATGACCGTGTGGACAGATATAAAAAAAAGTGACCCGTGCGTTAGTAATACCTGCAAATCCGGATTTGCACACCCACTTTTTTAAATTAGCATTTAATTGGGACTAGGGTCTCTTAGGTTTCCTCCTCCTGTCTGCTCCTTTCTAGGCACTTCTGGAAGGCTTTTAATGCCCCGCACCACTACAGCATTTTTAGTTGTTTCTATATGTTTTGTATGTTTTTTTTGTATTGTTTTATGGCTTTGCTGTAAAGCACTTTGAGTACCATTTGGGTATTGTAAAGCGCTGCACCACTTCAGCAATTTTTGTTGTTTCTGTATGTTTTGGGGGTTTTTTGTATTGTTTTATGGCTTTGTTGTAAAGCACTTTGAGTACCATTTGGGTATTGTAAAGGGCTATACAAATAAACTTGATTGATTGATTGATTGATTGATCCCCGCATGACTTTTCCAGGCTTTACATGACCGTGTGGACGGATATAAAAAAAAGTGACCCGTGCGTAAGTAATACCTGCAAATCCGGATTTGCACACCCACTTTTTTAAATTAGCATTTAATTGGGACTAGGGTCTCTTAGGTTTCCTCCTCCTGTCTGCTCCTTTCTAGGCACTTCTGGAAGGCTTTTAATGCCCTGCACCACTACTGCACTTTTAGTTGTTTCTGTATGTTTTGTATGTTTTTTTTGTATTGTTTTATGGCTTTGTTGTAAAGCACTTTGAGTACCATTTGGGTATTGTAAAGCGCTGCACCACTTCAGCACTTTTAGTTGTTTCTGTATGTTTTGGGGGTTTTTTGTATTGTTTTATGGCTTT